GTGTAGTATATACAAGGAAGAATTCCCATCAATCACTAGATTCGCAGCAATTTCAGATGTTCTTTTTTTTCAAGCTTCCATTTCTTTGAGATTTTACTATTCGTCTCCGATCAAAAGTTGCCTCTTCTGTATACTAAATCAATAAATGTGTTTACTGCTTCAGCATAGTGCCAACATTTTAACCGTGAAGCAGCCAAATTGAGATTATCTTCAATAATTTTTATTCTTTTTCTATAGAGCAGGCCTTATTTTATACCATTATTCCTATAAAGTTGTACATTAAGATCAAACTAATTCTCTATCCCAGTAATTTACTATCAAATTTTAAATTCATTTAGCTTATTGGAAACTATGCCTATATTCTATTGTTTCTATTTCTCATATTTGCGTAACCATAGCTTCGGCTCTCCGCCATATAAATCTTTTTAGGCATTCTTATTTATAGATTCATTAGTAATAGCCCATTTATCGATATATAAGACAACAATGGCCATGTTTCATGTCTCAGGTAACTGCCTGCGCTGATTTCGATTCCATTGATGAAACATTTAACTATGTAGCTGATATCTGTCCTTGATATAAGTCGCTCCTGTGGAAAGTCGTGGCAGCAGTAAGGAGTTTGAAGAGAACAAATAAGTGAATTCTTGCAATAGGATTAGAGAAGATTTCACTGACCATCATGAATTACCGAAATTATTGATCAAATTCTTTTTACTTTACTTAATAATAGTGTTTCGTCCTTGTTTTCACAACCTGATCGTGTTTTCATATACCTATGTGAATACATTTTGTCAGAAGTCCTTCATAATAATTATGATGATTTCCAGCATCAGACCTTGAACTTGGTACCTTTCCAAATGTACGTTTCATGTCCATTCTCTGACGTTGCAAATTAAGCCTACTATGATAGGACTCCGGACCAGGTACTTTCACCTAGGTTCTCTCACAACACGACGAAGTCGCGAGAACGATGCCAAACCACTTTTCCACAAGGAAAGGAGACCACGTTAATAATAAAGAGAACGCCATCTTGGTCTTCATACCTTTACTCGTTAAACTTTGCAGTTAGAAACCATTAAATCAATATGAATATTATTTAGAATGAAGGGCTGAACGATGAAGCCTTCCACATATTGTCAAGCTGTGTAGACAAGTGAAACACGGTGGGCGATCACTGGGCCCAAAATGTTTTTGAGAAAGAGCAACAAGTGTTATAAAAATGTCTACACTTTTCAACTAGATGATCGTGAGTTTAAATACACTTCGCTCAATTTGGCATCCTTTTTCCGATTTTAAGTTAAAAGGCCTTAATCCTGCTCCTCTGACATTATTCTTCTCGTAAAATATTTGCAACTGGCGTTCATGGCCAGAGGTTTTGGGATGCAAAATATGGGAGATGGACATGATGTAGCCTAGAATCCTTGTTCATTCCGAAAAACGAACCCTATTCATTGAATAGGAAGCCCAAAGTCTTCTCGGTTTGGAGATATTCTTAACTTTATCCATACTATGTTCTGT